CAACTAGGTAAGTAGGCTTCGGAACGATTGCAGAGTCGTTAATCAAATGTTCAAGCTAAAAAGTTTCAACAACAACAACAATTAATTTTGAGGTTAAAAACTTTTCATTTCACAATATAAACAGTTCAGATAATTTTAATTAGAATGTTTGCCACTTTATCTGAAAATATGCAATAGAATAAAGATCAATATTTCGAATCATCGTGGACAGAACTCAAACAATATAAACAGTTAAGATAAGTTTAATTAGAATGTTTGCCACTTTATCTGAAAATATGCAATAGAATAAGGATCAATATTTCGAATCATTGTAGACAGAACTTAAACAATATAAACAGTTGAGATAAGTTTAATTAGAATGTTTGCCACTTTATCTGAAAATATGCAATAGAATAAGGATCAATATTTCGAATCATCGTGGACAGAACTCAAACAACATAAACAGTTGAGATAAGTTTAATTAAAATGTTTACCACTTTATCTGAAAATATGCAATAGAATAAGGATCAATATTTCGAATCATCGTGGACAGAACTTAAACTCTCGTTTCTCCTACCATATAAATTTTGTGGTAAATTCAACAATCTTCTCGTTAACGGTTATGAGATTAATACTTTTGCTGTATGTCACGAGCTTTCCAAAACTATCACATCTACACCTTTATACTCTAACTAGTTTAAGGTAATAATTAACACATTTAGCATGGCGACTACCACAAGTTTTACCTCCTCAGTATAGTTAATGCATGCTGTACAACAGTGACAGTTCTTCGTATAGTATAACATTAACATAGATTTCTACGGTATTTCCTTTGATTTAATCAAATTCAACTTGTTAATTGAAAAAGTAATACAGGCAACGATATTCCGGACCAAGAACAGCGATACTTTTATACCTTACAAATGTTATTTTCAATTATTTTTAAATGAAATACTAAAAATAATCAGAATGTCCCCAACCCTAAAAAAAATAATGGAAGCTCAAGAAGTTTTTCGCTCCGTACTAGAATTCGTCAGTTCAACTGGACGATGAGAAACAAAAATTCTTATAGCAATTTATATACGTAGTATAATACTTTAAATTAATTTTGAGCCCTGTAAGCACATCTTTGATTTAATCGTCTGATCAAAGACATTATTATTTTTTAATGCTTATGAAGCGACTGAATATAAGGATTTTTAAGTAATAAGAATGTCTACAGCATTACAAGTTAGTCTCTTGTATAAGCCTTCTTGGGAGAACTGGATAACTGTAGTACAGAAGTGAACAAAATGGGGCACCAAGATTGTAACGAGATAGCTAACGAGGCAGATGTCCAAATAGGTGTAAAGGCTATTGTTAAGAAATATGTTCCTCAAGCGGCTTACACTCACTGCAGGGCATATTCTTTGAATTTAGTAATTTTTCGTGATTGCAGGGAACCGCTTGTAAAAAAATGGCCGCCGTTCAGACCACTACTCAGCAAAGCGCCTTCTATAATTCAAAGGGACTTTATGAAATGATATAGACGCAAAGACAAAAAGGACGATACAAAAAAAAACAAACAAAAAAAAAACTGTGAATTTCGGTGAGCTATCCAACCTGACTCACTCGGAGCATTTCTTAGATCATAAGCTGTCGTTGCCCTAGAAACGTTGGAAAAGAATGGATGCGTAAAAGTAAGAAGCAATACTAGATCAAACATTTTTTTTTTTATTGATTGTTACACTGGTGACCGGTCCCCAGATTTTGAACCCACTGAATCCTTTATCAACAATACTACTACAGTGGAAACCTTTGTTTGTTTGTAATTAAGCACAAAGCTACACAGTGGACTATCTGTGATCTGCCCACTACGGGTATCGAAACCCGGTTTCTAGCATTGTAAATCTGCAGACATACCGCTGTGCCACTTCCAAAGTTGATTTGGTTCCAACAATATCAAGGGCTGTGGCAAGTCGTCGACAGCAATATTGTGCTAAAACACAAGTGGATAATTACAATCTATATTAGAAAAGGACTTTTTATTTTCCCTTGCTGGAACTGCGTTCGCTCGGTGGCCAATGAATGCTTCCACATCTTTCATATCCTGGCTACGCTCCAGCTTACAATACAAATATTGATTAAATTACGATTATTTGAAGTATGATTGCAAAAACATTATAGAAACATACCGAATTACAGTTAGGAGAAGTCTCCATGGTACAAGTATACTCAAGTCTTCAAAACAAGGCATTTGTCCTGGTCATGAAAATTTTATAAATCTAACATTAAACTGATGTTAAGAAATTCACAACTTTCAGAATATTACATGGTTTAGGCCTAACTCTAGCTTTAACCTTGCTTCAAGCATGTGGAATTAGGTGAAACCTTATAAATTTTAATAGAGAATAAGAATTTCAATTCAGTGAGAGTGAAAAAATATTTTTTTTTCAAACAGTAGCCTATACGATCACCCAAGTCTCATTATTAATTACTAACCGTTATTTTACCTACAAATATATACTAACAGTTAACTTTTATCCTTTTTTTCTACTGCTAATCTGCTGCTATCTTCAGGAAGCTCCTAAAGACCCAGGATCGATCCCAGCGACTACCAAAACATAAATTATCCTTCATAGGACTTCCCCGAAAAGTGCAGCAGATATAGGTTACTAACTATAACAATAATCGATAAATGACCGTCACAACCTTAATTATGAGCTTAAAAAAACTGTTTCTTATTCTACACGTTACAGATTGTTAAAAATTAAATCCAGTTCTATACGGTCATTTAAAAACACGTTATCCAAGATAAATCTTGAAGTACATGTTAAAAATAAAGTTGAATATTTGCGATTTAAATTGTAGACATGTGCTCTACATGTTTTTAAATACATAAAATATGTCACCATTACAGCCATGCACAGTATCGGGCCTTTATTTATCCAATCTGTTTATTCTTGTAAAATGCCTCTGCCCTAAATTAACTCCTGATCCATGTACAGAAAGATTGGGCAAGATATCAGCTATTTATAGTTGAAGTACACCTTAGTTGTAAGTAACCTGTCCAGCACTCAAACGGATCTACAGTATTGTTATCAACTCATCTACATCGATCTCATCAACAGAATCCTCGTTCTAATCAGATGTATAAATACATTCTGTTTATGTGGTGTTGGAAGGGAAAAATGATGAATCCTGATGACACTTTTCCTTTATCTTACGTTGGATTGCATCCCCAAGAAAATCCTCTTGCTTCCCACTCCACAAACCCTTCCAAAGCATTCAACAGTTGCTTCTATCAATACATGTGCAACTTTAATAGTCTATAGCAATGTAAGGTCTCACACCTCTCAAGACTAACTATGTAGGGGGCTTCCTTTAGCACTATTATAACGTTACAGTTCATATAATGTTTTACCACCAAAAATTTATGTTGTCTCAAACAGTCCACAGGTTGTAACAATAAACGCTAGATCCATGTGAAATGTAGGGTTAGAAAAGCCGTTTCTAGATATAAATTCCATTGGAAACAGCACCAATTCAGGCTACTAATGTTGTTATACTAAGCATTAAGTAGTGTACATTCCTAATGTGGATATACTTAGGGTTGTATCTTCTTTCATGTCTCATTTTCCCACATTTTACTCTTGTCAAGTTTACTGAAGTTCCTGAAAAACTTGCTAAAAGCACAACATTCTCTGCAAGCATCAATTCCAATATACTTCATGGAGAACTATACAAATCAGTAATCTTGTCTTCCCTATATCCTGCTGTGTTTTAAAGCACAGCTCTTAAGTATATTACTATCAATGCCACATTACCCTGGCATTAGCTTAAAATAAATAAAATGTTCAAAATTGTCTAGTTAGTAAAGCCACATATCCATTCCGTTTTGTTGTTTTATGATGCAGTGGCTCTTAATTGCACTTTCCATTTCTGCAAAAGGTTTTCAGTACAAAAAGTTTGCCAAGAGACAGTGCATGCATACTTCAAGGGCTTTAACATAAAAACGTTATTTAAAATCAAAAAGAAAAATATCTCAAAACTTAAAAGTTGCTGTTGGATGAACAAAATGACATAAAAGTTTCTGTGGAAAAATATTCAATGATCAAGTAAATTCTTAGAAACAAAAAAATCAAAAAGTATTCAAAATACTTAAGAAATGTATGAAAATTACTCAGTATTAAACAGATCCAAAATGCAGTATTAAATTAAGGATCTATACTTAGTGAATTTTTCATTTCTATGCTACTCATCTGTTTTATAAACCCGAAATCAAGCCATACTAAGATATATATTAAGTTACTGAGCCTGTTTTAACTTATAGAAATAATTCAACCTTTGAAGTACTTTACAGCTTATAATTTATCACCATAAAATGTTTAGGCATCTCTGAAAAAGTTTCACTATTGCATTATTTATTCACCTGAGGATCACCATAGGCAAATAATTGGGTAAACAGCCGGGTCAGAGATTCCTATGGTTCAGGCATAGCCAACCCTAATTTTGAACTGTGGATCAGATGGAAGGCAGACAGTAACACCTGCCACTTGAAGTAACTCTTCTTAACCAGAATAGTGAAATTGACTATCACTCTTATAATGCACCCACAACTGAAAGGGTAAATCATGTTTTGTAGCAACCATTTCTCAAACACAAGATTCTTGGATCATCACTCCAATATGCATAGCACTAGGCCATTAAACAAGTCACTCTTTATATAAAGGAATTAATATACAGTATATAACATAATTTGAAACATGTAATTAATGTGAAAGTGAAAATGTTTTCATTAACTACCATTGAAATTATTAATAAAACTTTACTATATTTCTGTTAATTCAAGTTAATAAAATAACACAAATATGTATAAAAACCACTATTTACAAATAGCACAATAACATATGTACTGTAAATAATATGGTGTGGATTAATTTAGTTGTATTTGACATGGATAATTTATACCATAATTTGCAACCAAAAAAAGGTGTCATGAATAATTAAAACATGGTCAACACTATCCAGACTATATTGCCTTTTGGATTTAAAAATCTGAAAAATTCAAGTATCTTTATTAAATTCTAAAAAAACATCATCACAAACTCATCCTGTACAGTAAATGCTTAGAACCAAATTTTAAATATACTATACAACTGTGCATTTCATGTGGCAGCAAACAAGCATTTATTCATTACAATTCTGATGTCTAACAAAAGTATTGTGGTTCAACTATAAAGTTTCATTATTAAAAAAAAACTACTATTCTTTCAATTAACTCTAACATCACATACAAACTCAAATTATGGTTTGTGATAGACAAGTTTTTACAATACTGCAAGGATAGCAGTTAATTTTGCTTTCTAGCTTAGATTCTGTTGGACTTTTATTTTAAGAAAAACACAAAAACATGGTAATAATTTTGGAGAATGAACAATCATTATTATACCAGTATTTTGTATAAAGAAAATTTAAACTGGATTTACCCAGGTAATGCAATATGCTAACTAAGGTCAAAATAACTGTATCACGAAGATATGAAACTAATTTAAGACACCTAGAAAAATGCTATTCAAAATGTACATTTAAATTTCTTGTATTATTTTCATAATGTAAATAAAAAGGAAAGGTGTAACTTCTTATATTTATCTCAAAGTTAATAAGTACTTTTACAAAACCTATGAAACAATTTGATGTAAAACCTTGTAGAGTGTATATTTTGTACGTTTTGTCCTATGAAACATTCTATTCAAAACAATCCATTATAACATTTACATTTTCTGGCTATTATGGAGTAAAGCAGAGGTACTATATGATTAAAAACTATGTCATTCTTTTTGCTTATAAGAATTATAATGCTTTTGGAAAAAAATGTTCATCACTAAAATTCTATTCATCAAAGTTACTAAGCAGTGCAATATTTTAGCTTTAAATATATAAATCTTGAAGTGAGGAAGAGGTTCATTATCAAAGAAACTCCTGTAAAATAAAAGATGCTTTTTGTACTAAATAATTACTCTGAAAATATACAGTACAAGTAAAACTGGCACAGGATTAAAAGAACTTAATATACGTCTTTAAAACACAAAATAAAAAGGCTGTTAGTTTCAACCATCTAGAATAGCAAACCATTAATATTATTTAAACTGAAATTCATTTTAAAAACACTTCTCATACATGTACCAAGTTTTCCAAGTAAAAAAAATTTATATGATGGTAAATGGGCAAATTTGTTTTCAGTCCTTAATATCTTCTTAGAAAAATTCACTTTTTTTTTATTCAAATTATATAAACAACTATTTCCTTTCATATTTTAGATTATTATAGCATTATATATCCTTCTATTAATTAGTGTATGCAAATGCTTATAAACTTAAATGATTAAGAGAAAATGAACACAAGAAAACATTTTCTATCAAACACTGCTATATCCCTTACACAGATTCTAAAACACACCCACACTCATATTCATGTTGTATTAAAACATGAATATATCATAAAATAGTTTTAAATCTTTTAGTTACATCATATTATCATATCTTCTGGGGCATTCTCATTCCTGCTTTGCATTTGAGATGATGGTAGGGATGAAGAAAGCTGGGGCACTGTTGGTGCCTAAAAATACAATATTAAATTAAATTTTCAGTATTTGGATGTAAATAAAGTTCAATGAAAATAGAAAATAACCCATCTCACAGAGGAAGGTAAAACCTAACTTCAAACAAAATAATAATTGAGCCATTTGAAAGAGTACAACATAGCAATTATGTACTTCAATCTGGATAGACATAATGAGAAATAGTTTTTCTCAGCTGTTTAACATTTCATTATTTTACACATTATTGATAACTAACCAAAAATAAAAGAACTTACATAATATTTAAAATAAAATAGAGAAAGTTTTGAAAACATAAGTATAGAAATTTAATTTAAATAACTTAAAAGTGGGGGTAAACTAATCATCTAAATTCAAATAAATGATTTAAAATAACAGGAGCCAAATGATAAAAATACTCAGAACTTAGAACAGAACAATTCATGGACAGCAAAATAGATTGTAGCGACTAAAGGAATAAGAACTTTCACTAGAAAAAAAATTAACAAACTCAGATCAGGATTACAAAATGCTGGCACCTTTGGAAACACAGATGAAATAGTAGAGCCTGGTAAATAGTGAGACCACATTCCTTGAATCTGTTAGAAACAGATGTGCAGTAAGGAAGCTCCAGTATGAGCCTAAAGACCTGCTTCAGTCTTAATGCACCAAAGTGGAGCCTCAAACAATTAAACAAGAAGTGATTTGACTATAAAAAGTAATATAATAGATCTGACAAAGTACCTGAAGTGGAAAAACCCTCCTACACCTCATCATAATATAAATCACTCTGTCAAATGTATTAGAAACCATTACAATTTGTTCATCTCTTCCAAGATTTTTTTTTATTGAATAATAACTTCCAGAACCTTTACTGAATCAACTGGGGCAGAGGAACATTATTAAAACTCAAATCCTCATTGACCAGTTCTCTAGATATAACCATATATTGAGACTTACTAATATGTAGATCCAGGCAGTTGTCAAGAAGCCAAACTGCAATACTTAACAATACATAATTCACAATTCTAAAATATTCAGCAAGAGTATTAGCCTGAATATTAATAACATTGTTGGCTTACAGGTTAAAAGTGTCACTTGGACATACTGAAAGTAAACAGTTTACATAAATAATGACCAAGAGAGGCCCAAGGTTTGAGTCGTGAGGAAATCCACAAAGAAGAGTAGAGAAAAGGGACATTATACCACAAACTGTAGTGCAACATTGCCTATTAACCAGATAGGTTTTTAGAATATTACAAATAATACTGCATATACAGTAATGAGTACACTTATTAAGCAATACTATGTAATTCACACATTATACATTATTAACAAGTTCAGTTAAGAGATCAATAATGGGATCAGAAGTAGATTCAACCACTGAGGGTAATACATCATTCCATCCAGCAGATGAAGCACTTGAGAGTACCTTAATGGCTACACGAGTTTTAGTCTTAGTTTAAAGAAGGAAGATAAAGAGACTGAGCTGCAGGCTTATCCTGACATTCAGTGTTTGTAGGAGTTACACACTGTCCAGAGAAAGAATTGTTAAAAGTATTATTAATACCATCAGGATCAGTAACACACACACATGTATATCTGTCTGTCTGTGCATGTGTAATATTAGCATTACTTTTCCAAGTTCTACCCATTTGTTTATCAATGGACTGCCAACTGGCATGTGCACAAAGTTCCCATCCTCAAAAAATTTATTGAAATACCTAGCCTTATGATCAGCAGTTTGACCTCTAACAAGCACCTTAAGCTTCAAATATTTGTTATTAGTTAAAAGATTATCATCCCTTTAAACAAATAAGTCATTGCATATGCCTAATCATACATAATAGTCACAGACATCCAAGGAGGATATCTAGTATCATTTAATTTAACAATTTGAACAAATGGAAAATGCGAGTTATAGAGCTTGCAATAAGTGCTTGAAAAATTAAATTAAATAAAAAAAAAGAGGAAAAAGCTAAATCAACATCAGGTTCTTCATATATAATAGAGCTCCAACAAGCTTACTCTTACAGAGCAGCTTATAAATATTCAAAAATTTTAAAGATTGCTTCAATTTATTAGTATGTCAATGTTTTGTCAGGACTTGTATATGCTGTTATATTAGTATGGACAGAAAATTATATTAATACAAAGGACAGTCTTGCAAATGCATTTAGAATACTTTAGGTATACATTAAAATTTATACATGTAACAAACAGATACGAAAATACCTAAAATCTAAATCATGTTCCCAGTACTCTACAAATTAACTTAACAAAAACTTGTGAAAACATTGTATATTTACTAGTATGTTAAATTTGTAATATATTTTTCTTCATTATATATTCAGGCCATCTTCAAACTCTGCCATTTCAAAGTTGGTTCCTCATCACCAAATTTGATTTAATGATGGCAATTACTTGAGGTTATGCAAATCCAAATGTTTGTCTTTGTTATCCCAAGTATATATTTCTAAGTTAAGTATGTTTCCTCACTTATCCACCACTATAAACCAAAATGTTTAATATTTTCGTATGAAACTTCTTGTAGAAAAATAATGTAACACTTTGAGTTAAATGTCATTCTTTTAGTGAAGTGCACTATACTTGTTGTGAAGTATATACCATCAGGACCCTACAAGTTAGCAATACTGTTCTATGGCACAAGTCAACCAGCAGTCATCAAAGCTTCAACCAAATACTACAAAGTTACACCTTTTCTCATTCTTGAACACAGTGATCTAGGTTCTTTGGGTAAAGTAGTTTCTGCTCTTCTATCCAAGTCACCAAAAACTATTGACAAGAACAGTTTTGACTTTTCTGATAACATTAAACCGAGTGGTGTCACTTTTCTAATGGAAAATGCACCTCACAGGATAGTACTTATGAAATGTGTATTAATCCTAGAACTTGTGCTTTTTGAAATGCAATAATATATATATAAAATTCTTCTTTAATGTATACATATCTTATAGCTGCAAGCTGCACAAAAATAATAGATAAAAACAACAATGTATTTTCGAACTGAACAAAACCAAAGTGACTTACTTCAAGAAATGTACTTCTGACAGGAGATGATGGGAGACTGCTTGAACAGTTGTACAAAAACTTTGTTGGTGATGATGCCAAACTAGGAGAACTAATTGAATATTCATTAACATGTGCTGGAAAAGATTCTCTATCCATGGGATGTTGTGATGGTGAGACTAGAATATTTTACAGAAGTTATAAAAATAAAACTTGCTTACTGTAGTTCACTTCATTACTATAAACACTTAGTATTTCAATACAAAATGCAGAATGCTTTTAATACAAGAACACTTGGAAATGAATAAATATTCTGAGTACAGGTAAACATGACTGAAATGATTACACTTATTAAAAATAGTGTAAATTTTATGCTTTAGAGAAGAATCTAAATGTTATTAAATACAATAATTTAATAGAGACATAACCTTCGCTCTATATTATTATTAATCACAGAAAAACTAAGATAATCACCAAGAGAAAAAAAAATGTTCCAAGTTGGACCATAGTAGGCTTGCACTCCAGCTAAAGCAGAGTACCCTTATTTACCAACATCATTGGAAACATTACCTTAAATAGTTCTATCTTATGTACATAATACTTCTAATTTTATTCTGTTCCTTCTATGAAAAGTCCAAAGTTGCTGCCCAAGAAGGACTATTATATGTAAACCAACACTCGCGATATTTAAACTTGCATAATCCATATACTAATTTGTTGTGAAAAACCTATATATTGTAGTTATATCCATTAAAACAAGTTATACATTTCATAGGATAAAAATCCAGATTTTATGCTTACTACCTTGAATAATGGCTTGAACAAAGCATTCGCATTTACCAATAATGGTGTAAAACCATAATCTGTAAAAACTCCAATACAAAATCATTAAGTGTGGTATCCAAGTACACCAACATCCAAGTCTAAAGTATCTAGAGAATACAGATTTGGGAAATGTTACACACGGAATATGTCAAACACTGACACCAAAGAAAGAACAAAAGTGAACATATACTAGTGATATGTAGTGCATTTTACTTATTGGCTAGCTTACAATTTCTGTTGGGACTTTTACCAGTGCTGGGATGAAAAGGAGTCATTCGAACATCAAGACAAGAGAGATAGAAGTAAGCAACAAAAGCGATCTAGGCTAGTGTGGGTATCCCATTTTTACAGCCAGCAAAATCTTTAACGTGGTACTACTGTACATTCAGTTCTAATACCTCAAACCACTTTCTAGAAGATGCTGCTTTAATTGTTTGAACAGGCAAACTTCCTACAAGTTCACACAAAAACACACGTTCTAGCTTTAGATGTAAGTTGCAGCATGTATAAAAGGATTAGCGCATGTTTAGGACCTTTTAATATCCAATTAACAAAAATGTCTTAAATATATGCAGACCTATACAAAAACGTAGAAAAAAAAGAAATCAGAATATGCCTGCATACAAAAGTATTCTATACTAAACATGAAAGGACAAAATTAGTAGCTATTTCAGCTATGACATAAGCACTGTTACATAACTCCTTATAGAAACAACAGAGTTTAAAAGATTTGTTGAGTTCTAGGACTAAGTAGTTCAGTCTTTTTTTTGATCAGGCAAACACTTGAACTGTACATCACCACCCACAATGTTACTTCATGCTGGCAGGTTGGGATGAAGTCTTTAAAACTAATGGGCAGTTTACCTTTGTCCTCTCGTGAATGTAATAGACTACCAGGTAATTCACTAGAATTATGGATCCATTAACAAATTAAGATTGAAAACCCTTGTCAACAACATGTGATGAGTTAGAAGTTCAACAAACAATAAAGTTAAATGTCAAAATCAATTCGACTATGACCTGACCTTATCCTGGAAAAAGTTTTCTGGATATGGACTATATGGTACACATGCCATAATTTACTTCACCCATGGAGAATGTGCTCACCACTATGACGTCACAGCATATCTGACCTGAGTGCTGGCGAATATTTCATTCACATAGATTTATATGGTACAAGGCACATGCAGCTACAGTAAACCAGACTTTTGACTATGCCAGCCCATGCTAACATTTTACCAGTCAGCAAATTTCATTATTTTACAAGCACATAACATTCTCTCATCCTAACATTATGCAAAGTCTAAAGCATTTTCTGCCTTAGAGCTCTGGAAGCCACTAGCTGCTTCACATGTTGGTTATCACATCTCATTGGTTCATATTACAGTACAACAGGCCACCCTACATTTCCAGCCGGCTGTACATATACCAAATGGTTCTAGGACAAATGCCCCCACAGGAAAATTACCCCTGAAGCCATATCTTCTTATATTAATATAATGGACTAAAATAGGAATAAATAACACATTTCTTATCTTTATAAAAGAATGAATTATCTAAAACTGTTTAACCTTCTTACCCTGGCTATCCTTTACTGTGCATGTCATGAGGTTTTAGTGACTTACGTTCAAGTTTGAATTCAAGTACTTTTTTGTTTATGTTATACCAGTTAGTAAAATTGTGGCTAATAATCCATATTTTAACAGCATACAAGTTTTAAGTTCTTAGCCTTACAAGGCAATATGTAAAAAAAAATCCTGAATTTCCCCTACAAAACTACAATTTGTTGGACGTTTTGTGAACTTACATTATATAACTTTGCGTAGTTCAACATTTTTATTTTATTACAATAAACAAAATTTAACACGAAACCTGTGTTATTAACATGAAACCTGTGTTATTTTCTCCTACTTAAACAGTTTTAGACAGTTCATTCTTCTATGAAATACAAGAAATGTGTTTTGTTTTCCTATTTTAGTCAGTTATATGAAATATAATAAGATATGGATGAGGGAGAGAGTTGTCTAGGGTGCAATTTTCCCAACGAGAGCAGTTGTCAGGTTACTATGCCAAATATTACATTCATCCATACTATGCTCGCCTGTTTGCAACAAGCACAAACTACTTTACTGCATGTCAAGTAGCACCCAAGATAGGTCAGGGTCCTTTCAGATGCTGTTTCTAGAGCTCATGACTGGTCATTTGTGGTTTCCATACAAAAGAATTGTCGCTGCTCATATGGTTCATTGTTATTGTTGCTGCAATGGCTTTAACTGTTACATGTTGTTCAAGATTAAAACATTCAAAGAAAAAGACATGACCTCACATGTTGGCAAGATAATCCAGTGGCATTTCAACACTGCCGACCTTGGTAGTATTGTGTAAAAAAGTCATAATCTTTCAATATTGTTATCCAATATACAATCATACCTTCAGGAAACTTAACAGTCTTTAGTAATTTCACTGACATATTATCAACATAAATGGTGAACTTCTTACCATATTAATAGTTGTGGTAATGTCTGGTAACTTCTACAACTAAGAGCAGTTCTTATTTGTCACAGTATCAGCGCTCGCATGAGAAACCAACATACAACTTGCATACCAAATCAGTTACTCCATGCCTTCCCAAACTTACAACAAAACAACACCAATTCCACTATCACTTGCATCTGTATCCAGGATGAATGGACAATAATAACAAAGATAAGCCACAATTGATGTTCCACCAAGGCACACTTCAAGGACTGGAATATACATCTTCACATTCCAATATCCATACAAAGCATGCATCAACCTTAGTCAGTGCAGACAAGTGTGTAGCCATTTTGCCCATGAACCATTGAAAATGTAACATGCATGTTTCTCATTTATTAGAAGTTAAGAGCCAGTCCTGGACCACTGTAATCTTCAGCAGGATAAGTGGACACTCCAACTATACCACCAATTTGATCAAGAAACTGCACTTCAACATTTAAGAGTGTGCATTTTTCAGGTTTCAATTTCAAGCGAACATCCTTGATGCACTGGAATACTACTCCGAGCTGCAACAAATAGTAACTATTTCATACACACAGATGAGAAATCTCTTTCATTGCAGTCTTCCAAACGTACATTGCACCAGCCTCTCGAAAGAAGCAAACACATTACACAGGCTGAAAAGTATAAAGCAGAATTTATATAATCCTTCTTAAGTGATGAAGGCAGACTTAGATCTACTTTTGTTTTCCAGTTTGAATTGCCTTCATCCAGAATCCATATCTTGTGTACAAACCAATATATGCCTTCCAACATTTCCAAACATTTATATGTGCACAGTAGAGGATGGTATCAACTTCGGTTACAATATTAACCTGTATAAAGTCCATACAGAACCTTTGTGTTTATTTCTTCTTCAACATCACTGAAGATGGCCATGCAGTCTTTGAGGGTTGTTTTACTCCTTAATTCAACATACGCTCAATTGCATCACTGAAGAAAATGCCTGCACAGAAGACTTAGACACATGCCAGGGCACATCATAGTGAAAAGGTTCACAATTAAGAGTTCTAAATAATTCAGAGAAATATACTGTTGCTAAAAGTGTTACAAAAATAGTAATAATAAGAGCTCTATAGAAATAAGTCATGCCAATTGTTCAGATATTAAATCAAAGAACAAAGATCTTTCTGCCCTTAAACATGCACTTCTATATAAAAACAGATGTATGTACACTATCACATAACAGATAAGTACATACTAGAGAATGGATTTGTTGGAATTGGAACACTCCATGGAGGCTGACCTAGATGGCAGAAGGCATCCATTTGTTGAGTTAGACTGAGGATTCCTCCCTCTGCTACTGTAACTATAACCCAAATCACTTCTGTAAAAAAGTGCAAAATTATTCAACTAAACATATGTTCTTGGTTAACATCAAACTGAAAATTCAGATTAAACTATCAAAGTATTAGCAGGTTACATGGAATACAAGCAGAGTAAATTAACAAATGTCTTTTCTTTCTAAAAATCAAGTTTGAGTTTTAACCATAACGTATTCGATCAGTCCAACCTTTTAGCTAGGAAGAGATGGACTACAATGGGATTTTCCAATTAAAATTTATTTGGGAATTAACTTTTTTTCATGCATAAATTTAACATATGATTAATAATGAGTAGAAGGCCCAGATGAAAAGTTTTGGAGTTGGATACGACCCACAGCTGGGCCATCAGTCAGACAAAGATGTATTACATATTTTTAATATCTTCATTAAAAACATGTAGTTTTTAAGTCAGTTTACAGATTTTAAGCAGTATCATAACCATGCTAAATACAAAGGGACCTTACATAACTCATACATACAAGCTAAATTTCTCAATCTACATTATACCAACATGTTTATAAGAAGTTTAAGACAAAAAAAACCTCAATAAAATAAAACTATGCTAAAAACCTTAAAGAAAACAAAACGTTTTTCATTTTTTATCCTTTTCCTTAGATACCTTCAGTCGGTATATCATTTTATAAAACATGTTTCTTATCTAAAATATATGATCCACAGTACACAAGTTTATTATATTTTTCTTCCCCTCTTTAATTTGCAATCAAATGTGAACAAATCACTATTTAACTACCTCAGAGATAAATACATGTTGGATGGAAAGACAAAATAGGGTGAAAAAATATGCAAGATTTCTCAAGGGCATAGCGTACATATACTAATAACAATAAAAAAAAAAGAGGACTTTATAGGGATGTAGTGTTACATTGTAATTTTATAATAGCTTTGTGCACCTACCTCCAAAATACTGTCCAGTTGCTGTGCTCATCCTCCATTGGCCTTGATAAATACCTGGCCGATCTGGACTCATCATTTCTATGGACACATCAGCCGCTTCTTTAGGTTGCAAGGGTTCAACTATAGCTCGGTCCTCAAGGCCCAGGTGATGACCATTTGTAAACTTAAGACAACATCCTGGTGGCCATGGCTCATTTCCTGTTATCAAACAATAAGAAAAAAATCATTTATTAGTTTTGCATTAAAATGTGCAAGATGTAGCACCACATTAAATTTTATAATTCATATTATGAAACTAGCAATACTTTTTTAAAAATAGATAATTTACAGCATAATTTCTACCTTGTTTGGTAACTATATACATATCTTGTTTTCATAAAAAGCAAACAAATTAATGCTTACAACTTGTACATAACCCACTATTAACCCTGCATTAATCTTCTGGAAAAACTGTCTATAGTCACTCTACCGAGGTCCGAGTGAACCATATCATAAAAAAATTCAGTTAAAAATATTTAAATAATAATAAACTATAATTCTGTAACTGAAAAACACTAACACTCAAAATATTTTCCTTTATTAATCAATAAATGAACATTGAATATGACAACGTGTTTCTTTTTCTACCACCTAAACTAAGTGTAACAATTTAACACAAACTAACTGAATACTGAAACTACAGAGAACAACAAACATGCATGTGCTTTCATCGGTTGGCACTGATGTTTACAAAATATCTGGGATCTGTGAAAACCCCAGAAGACTAATGTGGGTTAAAACTGGTTCCCCACCCCCTACATTGCTTTTGTACAAATCTCACTTCACTTATGAAATATATTTGTTGTTGTTTTATATATGCTTGCATTATATTCAAGGCTGGAACAAAAACAACAGTAGTTATATATATGGAAGAAAAATAGCAGGTAAAGGAGAGTTTGGCTACAAACATTATGCAAACATACTAAGCCTGTTTTTTTTTTTTTTTTTTT